TTGCATCTTTAAATATAAAATTATTATTGGTAAATATGAAGTTAGTACAATTTTAAGTACCTAATGTTGGTATGGTACAACATTAATATAAAATGTGATATCATTGGTCTCTGCTCATGGGATATTTGTTTTATACCCTAATGATAGCAACCAGGGACGGAGCCAGAAATATTTTTTTAAAAAAACTGTTGAAGCCAACTATAAAAGTTTGTTAATGCCAAGATTTAAACCCTATCCTTTATCATAATAACTTAACACGTGCTTAACCAACTCACCTAAATCAACCCTTGTTGACATTCAACAGTTTTATTTTACTAATACTAACACATGTACTATATATACATATATACATACAAAAATTATATATGGGGTGGGGGTGGGGGTGGGGGTGGGGTGAGGGGGGGGGGGGGGCAGCTGCCCCTCCTTTGGCTCCGTCCCTGATAGCAACATTAGAGTATTAAAATCATATGCAAAACTGAAGTCGGATTAACAAGAAATTACATTGAAATTCTCAAATTCGTAGTTAGCTTAACAATTAAAAATAAGTGTATCCTTACCCAAAAAAAATGTATATATATAATGAGACTTTGTTTCATGCTATCTTATTTTCGACATCGTGTAAATAATTGGTTTAGCCTCAAAAGATCATAGATATTTACATAGACATGTTTGGTTTGTACAAATTAAATGATGAATTGAAGTTCATGTTTAGTATCAAAGTTAGCTTATCAGTCAATTTTGATGTATTTAATCACTATTATAGTTGTTTGATTTGGTTAAACAATTAATATGAATAATTTAATAATCAATTTTTTAAAATACTCATTTTGATTATATCGAAAATAATTATTTTTATTTTATATTTAAAATTGTACAAAACATTTACCTATTCTTATTATTTTTTATTTCATAGATTGGTCTTCATTGTAATTGAAAATAAAATTTTAGAAGAATTGACATCGAAATTTTGGTGAATAATTTTGTATTTAAATATTAACGAAAAATGAAACTTTTAAATTAACTTGTGAATTGCATTCTCTCTTTATTAAATTTTTATATACTATATTTGGATAAAAAAATTTAATTACATTTTTATTTTTGTTATATAATACAATAACGTGGAGTCTAGATTAAACTATTAGACATGACCCCTATTTCTAATGGATCGACCCTACACACACTACAAATAACTACACAATTAAACAATATGTTAATTTAGTTAATTAAACTATCGATAGTTAAAATTTTAAAAAATCTTTATCCATTGACCGAACTGAAATATTTTACTTTAAAAATTTATTAATTGAATTTTTTGTTTGATAATTTAACATATTTTCACCGAATTGTAGACACTCCTAAAGATACTAATTAACATTTACGTGAATATTTAAATATAAGAAGATTTTTTATCATACACAAATGTAAAAAATAATTAAATAAATCATTTTCTTAATTATTTTAGAAGTATATGTATTATATTCATTAATCAAAACTACATAATATATATATATATATATATATATATATATATATACACTACAAGAAAAATCACGAATCACGACGGAAACATCGCGACAGAACGTAATTTGTTACCGTTTCGCGACAGTTTTTGCGACGAAACGCGTTTCGTTGCGATAATGCAACGGAAATGGTGACGAAATTACATTCCGTAGTTTTTTTTGGCGCAAAGTGAGAAAAAAACCTGCTAAATCTTGGCGCCCAAATTTTGGTGACAGATTTTGCGACGGAATGGTGTTTCGTCGCCAAATTGGCGACAAAAAAATGCAACGACTAATATTTTCGTCGCGGTTTTGCGATAAAATTGGCGACGAGAGTGAATTCCGTTGCGATTTTTTGCGCAAAGTGGGAAATACTCCCGCATAATTCTCGGTGCCAATGAATTGACGACGGAGGATGACGACAAAAATTGCGACGATCATTTTTTCGTCGCGAAAATATTTAATTTTTAAAGTAAATTTTATTTTCGCTACAGAATAAACGACGAAATCAATTCCGTCGCCAATATGTTGACATAGTGGTGACAGAAAATGCGACGCCCGACATGTCTGTTGGGTTATGGCGATGGAATCGGCAATAGAACTCATTCCGTTGCGAGTGTTGGTGCAAAGGGGGGAAGTGACGTCTAAGGTTGGCGACAAAAATTGCGATGACCGTTTGTTCCATTACGAAAATATTTAACTTTTTAAATAAAGTTTATTTTCGCTACAGAATGGAACACACAGAATCAATTCTATCACCAATATGTTGACACAGTGGCAACAAAAAATGTGACGGTCTACATATCCGTCACACTATGGCGATGAAATCGGCAACACAAATTAATTTTATTGTGATGTTTGGCTCAGAGAGATTTGACGACAGAGGGTAACGACATGAATTGCGACGGTCGTTCGATCCTTCGCAAAAATATTTAACCATTGACCAAACAATTAAGCACACTTATATTCTTATTATACACTTATTGTCACAACAAAAACTTTTACAAATATCAAACATTTTAATGTTAGTAATTCATTCAAATAATTAAAAATAAATAAATAAAAGTGATGAATCACTCTAAACGCTCTGGTAAACGGAGGCTTAGTTAATGAAGTGAAGTAATAAATACAAATAGAAGACTTAGTAGTGCATTACTTGGTGTCCATTTAGTATTAAGTTTGAAGTAGGCAACATTTGGGCCAACTATGCAGCCATCTAGATTTTGCGGCAAATAAAATCTGCAAAATAAAATTTTATTCATGCTTAAATTATCACAACATATAATTAAAATGAAATATCACTTTCAATCCAACTTACTATTTTCATTTTTTTTATGGATTCTATTTTTTATTTTTTTTCGTTTTTAGAAAACGATTATACACTTCATTCTACTTTTACACCTTCAATTATTGCACTAACTTTTCGGCCTCTCATCTATATATTTACCTATTTTAATTTTCTTGTTGGACATTAATTTAATCATGCATGCAATGCACGTATTATAAATTTATAACTAATGTGTGTGTGTCTGTGTATTTTTTTATTTGACCGTTAAACAAATTTTCACCGAATTGTACACACACACCTAAAGATAATAATTAAAGTTTAAGTGAATATTTAAATATAATAAGATTTTAATCATACACAAATATGAAAAATAATTAAATATTTAATTTTTCTCAATTAATTATTTAGAAAGTATATCTTTTGTAATCATTAATCCAAAATGACGCCGTTTTATAATTTATACATATACATATACGTAATATATATATATATATATATGTGTGTGTGTGTGTGTGTGTGTGTCTATATATATATATATATATATATATATATATATATATATATATATATATATATATATCGGAGTGTAATTTAAAAAATTAATCCTTTAATAATTAAAATTTAAAATTATAATCCAAAATCCCTAATAGAGTGTATATAATATTGTAATTTAAAATATTAACTCTTTCTACACCTACAAATTTAATAAGAGCCAATAAAGTTAGACACTTTAACATGAACTAAATACATAGCGGTGAATCTTGAAAATTATTTTCTTGCACTTTTTTAAAATAAATTTAGGTTAAGTTTTATTTTTTCATTTAATTAATCTTCTTTTGATTATTTAGAACAAGACAATATTTCAATTATGTTTTTGCATTATTGGAATGATTTAGGTCATTATTGTATTAATATTTTTTGTATGTATTTCTATAATGGTACAATTGTACATTATTTTACAAATATTGTACTATTGTTTTTTTTAACGGACAAAATTGTTCTTACATCATTGTTAGACATGCGCGACCTAACTACAAAGTTGTGGATCAGAAATACATCTGAACATGGACTCTAAACGGTAGGACCATTGTCCAAAGAATTGACAATGCCCATATATATAGCAAGGCAAATCTAAAATTTCTTACACCAAAATTTTATTGCATGACGCTGTCCTCTATGCTACCACCAGTAACCCAATTGCATATGACGCACTACCAATAAAAAAGAAGAGTACAAAATACTGAATATGAAGACAATGACAATTCTACCCAAAAGAGAATTAAGAAGACTTAGAGAAATTCAAACCAAAAGTAGATTTATTTAGACTATTATTTTTAAACTAAATATTAAGACTAGCGTTATTATAAAGTTGAAAAAATTTATTTTAGTGACAACTATAATCAACCTTTCCTCTATTATCTTATCATATATTTTGAATTACTGATTTAAATAAACAAATTCAAAATTCAATTAGCTATACATAAACATATCTTATATAATCTTAATTGATATGCTTTGGAAGTACTTATTTAAAAATAATCATGAGACATTATCTCATTCCCAAACTAGTACCAAATCCTAATTTTCTAAAATCTAAGTGAAACCCAAAATCAAAATCCTAGACAACTCCGAATTTCCGGCGACGCTACGGATCGTGCCTCCCTGCTGCGATCTGCGTCGCTCCTCCAAAATTTCCGGCGACGCTACGGATCGTGCCTCCCTGCTGCGATCTGCGTCGCTCCTCCAAAATTTCCGGCAACACTTTGAATCATGCCTCCTGCTTCAGTTCTGCGTCGCTCCTCCTGCTACGACGCTGAGTCTCTATTGCGACGTAACTCGCTGCTGCCAACGCCGACACCGCTTGTAAATCTAGGTATTTCTTTGATTTTTTGACTGAAATTGATATTTTGGTTTGGTAGTATCTTTGATATCTTTGGTATTTTTATTTGGTTGTGATGAATGTATGAAACAAGTTTGTTTATTTCATATTTTTGTTTACCATCATTGGTGTCTGTAGTTTGTGGTTGTTGAATGAAACACGTTGTGTTATCTTTGCTCCAAATCCTGTTATCTCTTCCATGATTGCATAACTAATAATAACAAAAACCTGAGAAAAATTTTAACCTATGTATCCCTAAATCATTGATCAAAGACCAAAGACCAAAGATTATGGTTTTCCCTGTATTCTTTTCCTTTTTCTGAACATTATCAACCTTGGCCTCTCATTTTTCTCATTCATGTACTTTTCTGAATATTCCTATTTACATGCTCCTATTCTTGTTTTCATAGCAAGTGATTGCTTTCATCCACTGAGAAGAAAAGTGGATGTCAAAATCCATGAGAATTGCATCTATCTGCTGAAAGAACATTAGCTAGGATGGGAGGTTGCTGTTGTTCTGCAAGAAAGCCCCTGCTCCATGGATCCCCTGTACTTTACTATGTGGGTAGTCATTCGGATTATGATGCTACTTAATGCGATCTTTTTATCTTTTCACTTGGGTTCAGTATTCTTGTCTATGGTATTCTCTATAAATTTTAACTTAGCAATCATGATTTCTTAATATTAGAGATCTTCTCTACTGAATTTAACATTGAAATTGCAATTTCTTCTTGCAGTGCCCACCATGTTCAGAGGAGCGTGACTCTTTGACATCAAATTTAAGGTAGCAGGCTTGGACTTTGCATTTACAGAGAGCACTGTTGTTTACCACACCAAGGTAAGACATTAGACTTTGGATTCAAATATTCAATTGATTCATAAATTGTTTTCTGATAATTAGACATGAGACATCTTATGTTGTTTAATTTGACTGTTGGTTTTTGCACATGGGTTCTGATTCTAATGTATACTTATCCAAAAACAACAGGGGAAATTAAATTTTAATCTAAATTTTGACTAATACTTCTAATATTTTTCTTCTTCTGATTCTCTGCCTTAAACATCTATATTTGTTTATACACTTATTCTCTGTAACTTGTATGAATTTGTGATTATAATTTAAAACAAAGGTAAAGTTGTGCAAATGAGATGTTCCAAGTAGGCACTGCATTTGCTTTCAGACCAAGTTTGGTCCTGCATACCTAAGCATCAGTTGTTGAAACTAAGAAGCAGCTCTATGGGCTTTGTTTTGAGAATCCATAACTAAAATTGTAATGTGAATGAGTTTAATGCTTATTGTGTATGGACCTTTTATTAGCTTGAATAATGCAATCACACATATTAGGGAAGTGGAAGCTGAATTAAATATATCTGATCAATAATGTATCCTATTCAGAGGCTAGATATACATAAATTAGAGCACAGATATATTTCATATTTCCATGATATACTTTACAGTGGTGATGCTTTTATATTATGCCTAATTGTGCTCTTAGAGTCTTAGGGCCATTTTCTGGTTTATTTCTGTTATGTGTCTTTGTCTGAATTTCCTAGATGGTGAATCCATACTCCCCATGCAAGGAAGCAATAATTATTAATTTGTAAAGAATAATACTTTTTAATTCATTATTCATAAAATGCTAGATGTGCATTTGTTATTTAATCTAGTTATGAATACTGGTGATTCTCTACTGTTATGCAAACAGGAATCAGTGACTTGCTAATGTGTTCTGAGATCTTGACTACCCTTTTAAGTATGCTTTTGTCTCATCAACTAACAGAACTGACTTGTTAATGTGTTCATGCACTTCCAATCAAAGGTTCAGTAAGATAGAATGCATTCTGCAATTTCTACTAGCCACTACAAATAGTTAAGCCACATTCATCTCTGATTTATGATTTTCTTTAATCTGAAACTGTTCTTTACTTAATCAGGTGGATTGATCCTCTTAAAGCTAGACATTGGTGCCCCCTCCAGTATGTTGTGACAGCATCTTTTCTCAGCAAACTATACATTGACTATCTTGAGCTTCTGCATAGGTACCATGACAACTGTAACAGTGTTGTGTTTGCTCTACCAAACTTGAGTGATTTCCCAATGTCACGGGAAAGAGAGCAACCTCAGACCATGCAAATTGCAAGTTCTGCAAGATACATAACAAACAAACATGTTGTTGCAGTTGATATTAGGATTCAATCCGAGGAGCTTGTCCAATGTTAGGTTGAACTCTGTTGCAACACCCTCATAAGTATCACTGCCTTATGCTCCAACGGCACTATTCCAATTTAGAGTTGTACTTTGTGAACTATTTAGACTTCATGATTTGATTTGAATGAACACCAATGAATTTTACAAATTATATTGCATTATAGTTTTAATAGAGCTTTTGTTTATAAATATAATTGCATATTAACATTTTAAATAAAAGCATTAGAATTTTAACAGAATAATAATAATTACCAAAATATTTTTTTTTAAAAAATACTTTAGCAGAATTGCGACGGAATTTTGTGACGGAAGATGAAATTTGCAACGGAAATGTTAGCGACGGAATCGCGATGACAATTATTTTCGTTGTTATATTCCACGACGGTAATAGGCGACGAAAAATGAGTTTCGCAACGGAATATTTTTTCACACAATGGCTACGGAAGGTAATATTTCCGTCGCCAAAATCAAGACGGACTCGCGACGGAATAATTTCCGTCACCTACTTTGCGACGGAAATTTTCGTTGCTATTTTCCGTAGTCACCGCTCACGACGGATTATTTCCGTTGCGAAATGAAATACGACAAGCCTGGAGACTACGGAATAGATTTAGTCGCAAAAATGCAAAATTCCGTCGCAAAAGGCGATTCGCGACGGAATTTCGTGTTTTCGCGACGGAAAAATTCCGTCGCGAATCGTGATTTTTCTTGTAGTGATATATATATATATATATATATATATATATATATATATATATATATATATATATATATATATATATATTGAAAAGGCTAAATCCTATTTTAATTTACTACAACACTAAAATCCTAAAATACCTAAAATCGTAAAATAACTAAATTCCTAAAATCTCTAATCCTCATCGGCTTCAGACTCAGCCACATCTCTAACCCTCCTCGGCTTCAGACTCTGCAACTTTGCGGCGACGTGCTACGACGAGGCGGTGACGTGCTACGGTGAGGCGGCGACGTGCTACGGCGAGGCAGCAACAGGCTGCGGCAAGACGGCGACGGTTTGCGGCGAGGCAACGACCGAGACCGAGGTTAGTTTCTTTCTTAAAGTCTTTTTTGTGTATTATTATAAATTTATTATTTGTTGTGGGTATACAATGCGTGTATATATATATATATATATATATATATATATATATATATATATATATATATATTGTTTTTAATGCTTTGTATATATATTTGTAGTTTTTACTGCTTTGTATATATATTTGTGGTGTTTACTGCTTTGTGTATATAAATGTGTGATATATATTTACTGCTTATGCCTTTGTATATATTTGTAGTTTTTACTGTTTTGTATATATATTTGTGGTGTTTACTGGTTTGTATATATATGTGTGATATATATTTAATTTACTGCTTTGTATATATATATATATATATATATATATATATATATATATATATATATATATATATATATATATATATATATATATATATATATGAGTAAACAGAAATGAATAATGTGAATCTTAATCATTAATTGCTCCACCTTTTACATCACTAAGTAAGCTAGTTAGTTGTTGATTCAGGCCTCCTTTGCTGAGCACTACATTTCTTGAACTCAGCTTTAGAAATAATAGAGTAAAGGAAAGAGACAAAATAAAATTTTCATGGGTCTTGTAGCATAATGCATGTTATAATTCAGAAAAAAGATAAACCAGTGTAATCTCTGGGACAAAATATTCATAAAATAGTATAATTTCTTAATAATAGACTTACCCTTGATCTGTAACATATAAGTGTTGATTGTTTTTAACTTTACGATTTACCAGTTTATTTTATCTTTATAGATGATGAAGTCAAATAAAAATAACACTATGAATAAGCAAGCCACAATCTTGGCACTTGAAATCAAATGATTAAAATCCAGCTTGATGAGTAACGAAGGACCAATTACTCCATGCAGATTTGGTATTCCATATTAACTTAGAGCCTCTGTGTAGGATGATAAGCTAAGAAAGTATTGTAATATGCCTGCATATAGTGCTAAACCAGAGATTTTCTTCATGTGTATACTATGCACTATATTTTCATCTCTTTTGTTTTCTGTGTTTTATTATTTCTCTATTCTTAGAGGGGCATTTGATTCAAATATTCGAATAGGAATGATAATAGTAATATTTTTTAAACACTAATGATTGTTAAATATATGAATGTATATGTGTAGGTCTTTACATATAAGTATTATGGATAGAAGTTGGATGTATCAAAGGCGAACTCAACGTGGTGATCTTAATCCAGATTTTATAAAAAATTTAGAAACATTTATTGAGTTTGCATGTAGTAAACCAGATTTCATGGATGGAAGTAAAATTCGATGTCCGTGTATAAATGTCATCACATCTCATTTGAAGAAGCTGAGATTGTGAGATATCATTCGATGAACTTCTTGTGATTTTATTTTATTGTACATATTGAGTTGATGTTTGAGATGTTTATATTATATATTAAGCAGAGAGATAGTTTTATTTATACGGGAAACTATGCTGATTTTTTTTATCGGAATTTTGTTTGCTTTATATAATAATTATGTGCTATTGTGTTGGTAGAAATTTGTATTGACACTATTATGATAAAATCATTGTGATTTAATTTTATTGTCTCTATTGAGTTAATGTTTGTGTTCTATATTGGAGATAGTTCTATTTATAAAGGAAACTCTGTTGAATATTTTTACTAAATTTCGTTCTATTTTACTAATTCTATTTATATTCTGCTTATTGAGTTGATGTTTGAAATACTTTTATTATATATTATAATCTTATTTGTTTTAATTTTTATTTTATTTTGTTTCTATTTTAACTAATTTTTAGGAAAAGCAACTTGGTCGTCGTCCATCATATTTTGAATTATTCAAGCATACACATACCAAACAACATGATGGTCAAACATTTATAGTTGAAAAAGACAAACAAATCCATGTAAGTTTAATCTTGATTTTCCTTGAATGTATATGAATTTTTATAAAAATTGTACTAATTCTTTAAATTTTTGCAGGATCAAATTGCATTGCAACGGGAGGTATTAACACAAAATGGAGAAGAAGTAGATGAGAGTGTACTATGATGCAGTTGGCGGACATGATAAAAAAAGAAGAGTTTATGGACTTGGCTCATATGGTACATTCATTCGTACTCCAATAAATGCTAACACATCGGACAATATAGAATCAACCTCGCAGCCATCAGAGAATGTTAATTCTGCTAAGGTCCTCGATGAGATTGAGAATTTGAAGGCTTCTATGGTTCTTATGCAGCAAAAATTAAATGCTCTTCAGAGTGAGAGAGCTGGTACTTCATCATCACCCTCATCACGACCGAATTCACCTTGATTTAATTTTTCTTTTATGAATTACTATATTGTTGTTTATACATTTATTTGGTATTTGGGTACAACATATTATATTGTATTTTAGTTTGGACATTAACATTTTAAATACAAATATTAGAATTTTAACAAAATAATAATAATTACAAAATATTAAAATAAGAATTTAGCAAAATTGCGATGAAATATAATTTTAGCGATGGAATATTTATTGTAATTATGGCGACGAAAAGATTTTTGTCATCCAAAACGCGACGAAATCACGACAGTGATTAGTTATGTTATTATTTTACGACGAAATTTTGTAACGGAAAACAAATTTTGCGACGGAAAATATAGCGATGGAATTGCTACAGAAATTTGTTCTGTCGTTTTCTTACGACGAATTTGTGCGACGGAAGACAAAATTTGCAACGGAAAATTTTGCGACGGAATAGCGACGACAATTTGTTTCGTCATTTTTCTACGACGAAATTTTATGACAGAAAAAAAAAAAATTTGCAACGGAAATGTTAGCGACGGATTCGCGACAATAATTATTTCCGTCGTTATCTTTCACAACAAAAATATGCAACGGAATATGAGTTTTGCGACGGATTATTTTATCACGCAATGGCGACAGAAAGAAACATTTCCGTTGCCAAAATCGCGACGGAATGACTTACGTCGCCTACTTCACGACGAACAATTCCGTCACTATTTTCCGTCGCCATCGTTCGCGACGGATTATTTCCGTCACGAATTGAAATACGACAAGCCTTGAGACTACGGAATGGATTCCGTCGCGAAAATGACAAATTCTGTCGCAAAACGTGATTTGCGACGGAATTTCAGGAACAAGGGAACTCCTTACAAGGCTCAAGGTAAGACTCTGACTTTGGGGTTGACTAGTCAATTACTAGTCCCCAACTAATAAATTTCAGGAATTTAAGGAATTATATTACAAATTGAAATAGGATTAATTACTTAATTAATCCCTTAATTGAATTTGGATTTCGGGGTGTCACGTCCTCTCCCCCTTCAAAGAAGCTTCGTCCCCGAAGCTTGGGTACGATAAATTAAAAGCAAATGATGATAGGAAACAACATTGTGATAAGAGGTTCAAGAACAAACTCTTTTGGTCAAAACTCAAAAGAATCCACAAGAATTTCAAAGCAAGAAAGTAGGCATGTCAATTCAAGGATTGGCAAGAGTTTAACAAACGGATAAATTGAGCATCAAGAACTCTAGCCTCAACACAAACACCGACTTCTAGCCAACCGCTAAGAACTAAACAACCAACACCAACTACTACTAAGCTAAACAACAAAGCAACAAGCAAGAACAAGCTTTAAAAGCCAACAACAACTAAGCGGTAACAACGACTAGGAAGAAAA